TCACTGTCCTCGCATAAAATCAAATCCAGGCCAGGATTTTCCCCTTTTCCTTTGCATAAAATAATGATGAATACAATCCCTGCCACATTGTTCGGGGAGTTGTGAATAATAAAGAATAGTGCTGTATGGAGCATATTACTCTGCTCCTTTCCTACGCTGGAACAGGTTTCCACAAAACGCACTGATTAATAATACATGTCCAATACTTGCTCAACTCCTTCAGGGTCAGCTATTATCCTGTCGTACTTTTCAGCTTTGACTTCATTCTGCTGCAACGTCCCTTCACCTTGTGTCAGCGCTCTCTTGAGAAGAAGGGTGTTTGCAATGTCATGATTGTGAAGGAAAAGATTTTCTAAAAGCTTTTGAGCCCTTTGTAGTTTGGAAATATGACCAGAAGCTACTTTAAATAATGATGAGGGGTACTGGGATCAATAGGTACAAGTCATATCAAATGGTGTGTTCTTAATGACTGGGTTAATCTCTTCATGTTTGCTAAGAATATAATTAAAAGTCTCAGTTTCCTCAGGCTGTAATTCCTTTAAAGAAGCATTGATTCCCCAAACTTCATTAGCTCTTAATGCTCTCGTTCCTCCTTCATTTGGACTGACATGGAATAAAGCCACTTATCACTGGAGCTCCTACCACTCTTTTATTTTCTGTTTTCTGTTTCTTAAGGCCTAATTCAATTATTCCTCCATTTTGGACATTAATTAAAATGCAGATATTAAGGATGAAAAAGTATTTGTATTGAAGTTTCTGTGAATGAAGCTGAATGCCTGAAATGTAAATTAAACTCAATGTAATTGCCCACATAATCGAAAGCACTTTTCCTTTAAAGCTTCAATTTGGGACCTTTTTGAGCATATCAATTATTGATGGTTGGAAAATGATTTTTTGTCGAGTAAGCCTTTTAGAAGAAGAGCCTTGTTTAACCTTGTAGTAGCTTCAGCTTTTAGACTCAGATTTACAGGGCAGTAAATCTTAGCCATCGTTAAGTCTGCAGTCAATCTCGCTGACGTGAATTTAAAGCTTATGTAGCTTACTGATCATCTGTCAAACTATTAAAGATAGAACGTCCTGTTTCCTAAACGTGTCATGTTAAATGTGTGGGGCAAAAGAGGTTGAGTCATAGAGAAACTATTTTTGCATGTAACCAACCAGAGCTAAGAAAACAAGCACAGTTTCTGATATCAGAAAGACAATCATTTTCAAATTAACAAACTGAAGTGGGGCAAGCCAACTGTAAAAAAAAAAAAAAGGCCAAATTCCAAACCGACCCCCACACACTCCTACTCCGTGACGCAGTGAACTCCATCTGTAGTCTCAGGCCCCGGCTCCACGAGGAAAAATACGGCAAAACGCATCGGAGTAACACAAACGCAACCGCAAAAAACCTTCCGTCCCCACGCAATATACACCGGATTGTGTCAAGCTCCACGAGACGGCTCCGTTTACATCCAAACGCTGGAAAAGCTGCAGTACATATGCCGAACCTGTACGTGGCGCTGTAACTTCCTCCACAAAAGCAGCGAAGAAGAATGGTTGTCATGGCTGCACTTCTGTTTATTCTCCGCGGTGGGGGCGGAGGGAACCGCGCAGAGTTTTTCGCCGGTCAATGTGTGTTAAAGTTTAAATCTTCATGCTTCCTCATGCAGCAGCTGATCCAGTAAGTAAACCCGACAGTAAAAATAAACATATTTATAACTAGTTTAGGTAGTTTGAGAGGTAATTAAAATAGCTAAGGGTGGTGATCTGACTTGAAGTGTGTGTTTTGCTCTCGCTGCTTCACAGCCGGAGGAGCTGCGTGTCTCCGTCCTGTCAGATTAGACTTCACTCGCGTTTATGTTCATATCGAGATAAAGATAAATAATCTGAATTCAGTGTGCAGTGTACTTTTGCGGAGGTGAGCAGCAGAGGTGGGGAGAGGCGGGGAGAGGCGGGGCTATGAAACGCATGACCGTATAGGCGACCCCACGGCCCCGTTGGACCCCCCAGAGCGCTCCGTTCCCAGATCTATCCACCTTTGGACCCGTTGTCGTTTGCGGGGTCTGTTTCTACGTTTCCCTTACGGCGTCGTCGAGCTTAAAGGGCTATACGCATGAGAAATATGCGGATTCAACCTGTTTTCGTCCTCGTGGAGCCTACGCCTCACTCTCCGCTGAATGAGGCTTCTTCTTTAACCCTCCTCTTGTCTTCGGGTCAAATCTGACCGATTTACTACTTTCATCAATCGTAACTTTTTTGTTTTACATTCGATTGCATTAAGGCTTCATTTGAACATATACAATTGCTGATCACCACTTTCATTGAATTTTGGATGATTTAGTCAACTTTGTAACACCCATGGTGTTCCCGGTCAAAAATGACCGCCATAAAGAAAAGGAATTAGCAACCATCCGGATCAGATAAAACACACACACACACACACACACACACACACACACACACACACACACACACACACACACACACACACACACACACACACACATACATACTCTAAATATGTCCCCCCCCCTTATGTGCCCAATCCCCCCATGTGAATTACACCTGGCAAACACAAACAGAACAATTGGACACATTTCCCGCTCTTATGTGCCCATCCCCCCACATGGATCACACCTGGCACACGCAATACATGTTCAGTGTCTATTCTTTGTATATTTACTGCAGTTTTTCATGTATACCAGTAGTCTGATACAATATTTACAGTTTGAAAGGGTGTTAAATGAAATTTGGTGATGATTAATGGTTTTTGTGTTAATGTAATAGCAGTTAAAACAGGACCGGTCAAATTTGACCGTGAACACCAAAGTAAGGGGGGGGGGGGGAAACGAAGACAATAGGAGGGTTAAGGTGAAGGTTGTAAATACAGTGGCACGTTTTGGGACAAACTCCCCTCTCTCCAGCAGGAACAGGATCACAGTTTTAACTTTTCCTAACAATGGTTTCAAATCATCATCCTCTCAGACAACAAATATTAAATAATAATTATGATAAAACCCCAAAAAACTTTAGTGACATTTCTTTTTTTGTAAGTTTCTTTTTGTTTCCAGATCTGATGTTTATTACCTGGTTGGCTTTACAGCAGTCCCTATAAATATGAAGTACCGTTTAGACTAGACACGGATATACTGTATATCACGTGGAAATAAGTTATAATAAATACAATTAATGTAACTTTCAAGTTAACATCAACATGACAATATTACACTTCTTTAACTTTGCACAGTTTATTAGCAAATGTTTCCATGACGGACACAAACACCGTTGCACCTGGTGAGATGGTGGTTAGTCAGGACCGATGCAGAGTCGCCATTGGAGGGCTCCATAACCCACTCCCAGTCCCCACTGATTGGTTTGGAACAGCACTCAATTAGTGGACCCTCTGTGGGTAGGGGTCTGTTTGGAATTGGGCCTAAATCTCATTCACATGATACACACTTCACTCGTTGCTCACTGTGCAGTTGGGTGCAGAGTCTTCCAGCTGTAAGCATGTTAAGATTTGTTTCTATACCTTCTGTGCTACTAACGTCTGTCATCTGATTGGTAGGCGTTAAAAGGTAAGCGGTAAACGTGATCAAAAATGAAATAACTTCAACTTTAAGGGCAGAGCTCGGCAAACATGTTGGGCGATGTGCGATGCCGAAGGTAGCTTCCTCCATAGAAACACAATGGCAACGCCAGCAGAGAGACGTTTTTACCGATAAAAAGAGTTTAATGTCAGATTTGGGTCAGAATTGTACCTATAATTGAAAGAAGTTTGTAATATTCACAACTCCTGTAAACAGTAACTCTTGTGTTGTCTAACGCTAAATTAAAGGGACAGTAACCTTTATCCTTGGGAGTGTATAATATCTAGAAAGGAAAGCAGACATACTGTTGCCGCAACCTTGTCATGGTGGATATAATATGACAGATTATGCCTTTCACAGAGGTTTATTACAGAAGAAAGAATACAATTACAACGTTTTAAGCATTACAAATCAGCTGGTTTAAACATGTTGTGGCATTAAGGAGTAGTCTTGGCTGTTGTCCTTTCTATTTACAACTTGTGATACAAAAAAAGAGAACTTTGCTCTCAGGAACAGTTGTAAAAAAGCAATATGACCTTAAATGCACTAGAAATATATGAATAGCACGTTTCTCAATCATAACGATGGCGAACGTACAACAGACAGAGTGATGTGTGGAGAGAGTCTGTTTTCCTCGGGCCATTCACTCTGTCTTCCAGTCTCATACCTTTAATTATGAATGTTACATTGACACGCTGCATACTGAATGAAAGATGGGTTATGAGTTACAGAAATATAACTTGTTCATCAAGAGACAAGGATATGAAATTAATTAAAGGAGTGAACTTTGAAATGCTATAATAACAAAGAGTCTGAATATGCAGGAACCAGAGATAGTGTTTGTTAGACTATAGAGAAATTGGGTGTGTATTGTCCAAAACTGTCTCTAATCATTAAGGATAAGAAATGAAAAGTATTGTTCTGAGCTTTTACAGCCTTATTTCCTAACTGCTGGTACTGATGCTGTCATATTTGCTCATTAATCAACGTTTTCTTCAATATCAGCATCAGAGACAATTTATGCAGACCTGCTGTCTTGTTTTCAACGCTTTTGAAGGCTTTATGCTTTAGTGCATTTGATGTATTAAGATTGCTGTTTTGTTTGTGTTAATTAGCCTCATTTTGTTCTCTTCTGTTGTTTTTCATCTTTTTAGTTTTCACCTTTTATTTGATAAGAAGCATCTTTTCCTGTTATCCTCCGGGATATAAAGTCTGAATTCAATTATTTTCCTCATGTCCAAAAAACTAAATCTGTCTGCTTTTAATTGCTAAATGCATGGGCAGGTACAGCAAGGCTGCCAGAGTCCCTCTCCTAGAGTCACTTAGCACAATTACTTGAATATTGAACTTGGAGTTTTGTAGAGAAAAAAAATCAATAGCGGCTTAATGCAAAAATTGACACGGTGTGTGATCCTTCTCTTTTAGGGGAACAATGGAGGCGCGCTTTGTGTACGTCTTCATCTTGGGCATCCTCTTCACGGGCACCAAAGACCTGCTGCGGTCCCAGATCATCACATCAGATGCCAGGTTGAAGAGCAGGGGATTATGGGAGATTTACAGTGGCTTGGTCTTGTTGGTGACGCTGTTGTTTCGTGCTCACAACCTGCCGGTCCTCTGCTGCTGCCTGTTGATCCAGACGCTCATGGCCCAGTTCATCTGGAAGAAGCTCCACTACGACGCGGCACAAACTACCATCATGCACTACTGGTTCGGACAGGCCTTCTTTTACTTTCAGGTGAGCAACCATAATGATGTCAGTGATAGCAGAGCTTAACCGCCTGTTTGTAGGCGGTTTATCAAGTCAAATAAACTCCATATGTATATAAATTGGGATAACAGCATCAAAATCTTATTTTTTTCCCCCACAAATTACTTATTTACAGTATACTGTATACTTTTTAATAGTGGGTGAGAAATTACCCCCACACACACACACACACACACACACACACACACACACACACACACACACACACACACTACCCACTTCCCACTTTACTTTATTGCAGTAGTGCAAATACAACCATATACTTAATTTAACCAATTACTACTGACCTATCTACGGTGGAGGGGTTTAGCATGTGCCCAAAAAATTATATTTAATTTAATATATCATATTTTAGTTTAGTTTGTTCTGCATACATGTGATGTCGCAATATTTAGCAAAATGAGCGCATAATCCCCCTCAAACTAAACATCTAAGTGGAAATAGCCAGCAACGTTTTGTTTAAACGCTCAGAGCAATACATTACAGCTCATATTTATTGTAGCATTGTTTCCACATCATAATTTAAAGGTTGTGAACACCCTGAAGTCAGAAAAATTACTTTTCAACTCAGGAAATGGGACCATTGGAGAAGCATGTGATCGCACCATTGGCATGGCCAACGTCTGTAATCCCCAAATGTTTGACTTTTTAACTTTAAAACTGATTATTTTGTTTCAATCAAAGTAACTGTAATGATCTATTTTCTTCTAAATGTTAGGTGGTCAATTCCAAACCCTTACCACCTCCTCTAAACTTTGATTAAAGTCCAGACCAGTAAAATGTTCGCTGCAGTAAATCTTAAAACGAGTGTTCCCCTTAAAAATCAATCACCCGCCCATTAACAGTGTACAAACTACAACCACTTCACAAAGTGTGATACCTATTGGTGCTGACTCCATAAGTGCAGAAGTGTGGAGATGTTAATCAGATCCCAAATGACCTGTATTCACAAAAGAGGGGACAACAAATCAGTAAGTAGGTTTTTTTTAGTCTGATTGTAAGAGACATCTAATTTAGCTCTCTGACACAGAGTGTAGCAACATTTAGAGAAGCTATCGCCACTGATAAAGTGTTGGAAACAGCATTAGGTGCAGTTCGGGGCAGTGAAAGTGCTTGTGTGTAAATGATATTACTTTCGCGCAGCACTGGGATGACAGACAGCTGGACTAATTGTTTCCTGTGAAAACGTAACATGAGCAATGAGTTCCTTAAAGGCAGATATGGTACCTGTCTTTTTAACCTCACCAATATTTGGTTATCAGATCTGTATTTCTGTCAACAATGAACTTCCAAATTGCTAACATTTTAATAACACTCATCACCTCTTGGGTAATTAATACTGTGATGGGCTCGGGAGTAGAATGCCACCAGACAATTTTCAGCCCGGCGCCCGGGCATGTAATTACAGACCTTTGAGTAATAACGGAGCTGTAACCATAATGGATCTGTAAAGCTGCCACATGTGATTAAAATGTGCAGCTCCCAAAGAAAAACTGGTGTCATGTAGAACAATCAAATTATGTTGAATAATAACACAGCAATTAGAACTGATCACTGAGCTCCTGTTCCTAATGTATCAACGCAGTAGGAAATTAGAAGAGTCAAACATAAGGTGTCAAGAGAGGAACCACTCAATGATTTGGGAACTGTAAAGTGGGGTAAGCTGAGGGGTTTGCTACGTTCCAGCTAGCTCTTTTAGCTTTTTTACTAAAACTGCAAAGAATAAACAACTCTGCTACAATCATTCAAACCAAAACAAGCTCAGTCATTATCAGTAAGCTTTTGTTTATTTCAGTTTGAATCAGCTGTCCTACTCGGTTGGTGGGATTTCCGCTAACTGGTTTAGCTAGCTGAGCAGCACCTCAGAAAAAAAATCCGGAACTAAAATTAGTTAATCAGAACCTTTTTACCCCCTTTTCCGTCCCTGCTAGAGAGCAGGTACTTTTGTGGGAGAAAAAGGTTCCTATTTCTGATTGGCTGGGCGGATTGCAAACCACGCCCCGTAAAACTCCCAAAACGTTTTGTGAAGCCGCCATTTTATTATCCTCGCATTAGCATTATTAGCATTAGCCCAGCGCACAAACGCAGAGAGACTAACTTATGGCAACACAAAAGAAAACATGGGAGCGGTGGAGATGAGGAGGTGTGGGCGTTCTTGCGATTTACTCGGAAGGCTTCAGTAGAAGCTGCTGGGAGTCCCAGCAGCTTCTACTGAAGCCAGTCCCCAACTCCGGGGACTTCCGGCCGGGGACTTCGGGTGGCAGTATACGCCGTGAAGTTGTTTGCGGCCTGCCAGTAAACCCAAAGCAGAAGAAGAAGAAGTGACGTCAGCGGCTTCATTTGCCTAATCCTCCCCCAGGGACTTATTCCGGTGTGAACGCGATCTGTACTTAGTTCATGAGAACTAAAGAGTTCTGATGAACTGAGTTCTGATGAACCTTTGTGGGAAAAGTACTGCGGTGTGAAAGCGCCTATTGACCCAAAAAGTCAGTAAATACCCCACTGGTGAATGTCACGTGTCTTCAACGGCCATGCCTAAGAAGTGTCTAAATGACGCTGATAATACCCATCATGCCCAACCCAACATTATCTACCTTTTATTGAAGAATTGTTGATGTAAAGTCATGCGACCGCCATGTAGTTTGTTTATAGCCTAATGTTAGCTTTTTACTTCTGGCGGATGCATTCACGCTTCAAAAAGCATAAATTGGTGTTAACATGAGAAAAATAATCAAGCTGAAGAAAACACGTAGGTATCATAAACATGTGTTTTCGACAGATCTTATTTTCTGCAATAATCCAAAATCCAATGGAAGAATCCCATTACTTATCGTTGAGGGAACCCTGCTGATGCTAACTTCCAGGTCGGCCCCTTCGTCATCACTGCGCCACTCTTTTTACTCCTGTTTTTCGACTATTAACTATTTTTAGAACTCTGAAAAAGTTCCCTTGTCTGAAAACGGCTTTAGTTGCTTTTGCTGCTGTGTTTTATTAAATATTGGCAGAGAGCCTTGTCTGGCAGCCAAAAACAAAAAAGCACAACAGGATTTTGGGAAATATTCCAAGTAACCTCAGATGCAGACACTAAAAGAAGTTGAACGGTCTCACTGTAGAAGTTTTGCCCGTCTGTATTGAGCTGTCGTGATCAAATCAAGTGATGGATGCGTCAGATCTGGCTGTGGATTTTCTGTGAATACGTCCCCGTCCCAAAACCAGATGGTCAGTAAAGCAGAAAGGAGGTGTTTATCCTTCACCAATGACTTTGTGTTGCCACATGAGTAAGTCAAGTCGCATCGTGGTTATGAAATCAGAAACAACTGAGCAACCGTCTGTATCAAATATGAATCATCACAAAGATGTCTTTCAAGCTCCAAATCAAACCTGAACTTCCAGGTTCCAAATGCAAATCACTGAGGACATTCCTGGCAAGACATTTTTAAGGTTAATGAACATGACTTTTAAATAATCACTTCAGTTTGAATCTCAATAATACAACTTTTCAGGCAGTACTGCTTTTCCACAAGTGTCATATTTGTATATATTAACGATCACAGCAGGATTTGAGCAAGAAAGCTGGTAGAAAATGTCCATATGCAGCCCAACCTGCTCTCTGATATTCACTGTTTGTAGAAAATGAAGCCAGCTGTTAAGGTATCTTCCTGTGTGATCAAAGTTGTGTGCACAGAAGGAAAATAAAGAACTATTTGAAGTGTTGCTGCTCATGGATCATCACTGCTTTCCAAATGAACAAGAAAGACGTCTTTGATCTCCACTGATTCCCAGTTTCTTTTTCCTGTAAATATGCCTGCACGCAGTGCATTTTAGATGTAATTACCACCAGTTACGCACATGGAAATTGAATTTGCTAAGTATAAAACACTGTCAAAATGAAATACTGTAAATGAACCAATTTGAATTTTCTCAGCCATGACAGTGTTTTTCACAGCAGCTGCTGCTCTGCGGCTCAGGTTGACGGATCTGTCTGAACAGAACGTGTTTGATTTCAATAACCTGAATTCACACACTCTCTCCCTTAATACTGAAAATATTTCTCTACTTAACGACTTTCATCATATATCAAAGAAGCATCTCAACAGGCCTCAATCATCCAATCAGAGGACTTTCAGAGATTGATTAGTGACCACTTTGTAAGGACAGTATGTATTACCGATCAGAAAATAGCATTAAGAAAATACACTGAATATAGTAATACCAGCAAATTTTAAAGAGGTACATAATATGAAAAACTCTCTGTTTTAGTGCTTGTGTGAATATATTTTAGGTACCTTGAGTTCCTATGCCAACCCACAAATGTTAAAATAAGACAACTTAGTCGTTCTTTGTTTGACTGTTTAAGTCAGAAAACATGGGATTCAACATGTTTCAAGTCACATGTTGGCTCATGAGAATGCGCCCACAGCGTTGGAGGCGGGTCATCGTTCGTTCCTTTAAAGTTGCTCAGTGGCACAAAGGTACAAAAAGTGCATTTAATAGCCAACACACTGATACACCATGGACCCTACACTGTTACCAAACATTCATTAACAAGTCAAAATAGAAGGGAAATGTATGGATATACATAATATGGAGAAAAAAATCAAAGCTTTTTCAATGTCAAGATACATGAAAGATATTCACCCTTATTAGTGTTTATAAATCAGATCAAGGCTGTGCATTCAACATAGTTCACACAGTTGCCTATTCAGTGAATACATATACATGAAATCTAGTAAAAATAAGCTTTATCAAGGCTAGGGATAAAAAATAGCAGAGAACCAATGGACCTAATCAATGAAAAATGTAAAGCAACCTGAATGCTCCAACCTAAAGTCAGATCATATATAAAAATGAAATACTTTGCCTGTCTGTCCATTGATAAAAGGCTGAAAATATTTTCCAGGGATAACTAGGTTCAGTAATTATTTTTTACTGGAAAAAAATAGTCTGTCCTGTCAAATTTGAAGAAAGAAAATGCTAACTTTATGATCTGCAGTAGCCAAATACTGACCACTACCACTTTATATATTTGATTAAAAATGAATCTCTTAGATGCTGGTTGAGCCTCAGATAAAACAAGCTCATAATAACAATTCTTAACATGTATTTCAAGGTTATGAAATGTTTCCTTATCTCCTAAATGTTATTACATTTGAGCAAAGGCATATTTGCCTGATCTAAATATAACTGACATGAGCACAACCAAATACCCTTTATATTGTGGCTATAAATCCTGCGGCAATTTCTAAAGCTTCAGATGAAACTCCTGAACTGTAATAAATAACACACGGTTAGAGAAGTTGGATATTCAGTTTGCTTCAGGCATATTTGGCTCGTTCAAGGGATACTGCAAATTGTTGAGAAAGTTAAATACGCCAGAAATGTTGGGTCTTTAAAAAACCAAAGCGTGTGTGCCCACCTCCACAGTAACCTGAGCCGGCTCCAGAGAGCAGAGTCGGCTCCGGTCAGAGACTGGAAACACAAACTGGGCCGCTGGGAAGAGGCCAGCCGCTGAGCGTAATGATGACAAAGGGCTGCTTCTTCAGAGCGCTAAAATGCTTACAAAGCTTCACCCACAGATCTTTGTGTGCTCCTTTTTCTCTCCATATCTAAAATTAGACTTCTCTTTTCTCCTGCAGGGCAATTCGAACAACATCGCCACCGTGGACATTTCAGTGGGCTTCGTTGGACTGGAAAGTTACGTAGAAGCACCGGCCATCTTCTTAACGGCCCTCAGCACTTATGCGGGGCCCCTGCTCTGGGCGTGCCACCTGGTCTGCTTCCTCAGCTCACAGAGAGACAGGTGAGGCTCAGTTATGACATACTCATTAACTCAACACAAAAATAACTTTTATTTATATTGATTTGATTATAATCACTATGAAACCTTGATAATGAATGGTTAAGGTGTGCTAGATTGTTGCCCAGTTTTTACACAAATATTCAGTGTTGTCTAAAGTATTAATAATAGACACCACTGAATATTAGTAATATGTTTGAGTCAATGAAAAAGCTCTGTCTTCGCTATAAAATCCTCCTGATGACACTGTGGGGGGGGGGTGCCGGGGACCTTTCAACAAAATCATGAATGCTGGCTATCCTGGCTCACAAATGGTGAAACCGAGCTCCCCATTGATATCCAGACAGAAAAGCAGTCTACACATGTTCCGTCGCAGACTTCAATACCAACCTGTTCCTATACTGCATCTTAGCCCAAAAAGAAAATCTCACCTTTGTTCGTAGAACTTCAAAAATGATTGCTTAATGAAGCCAATCCAGTAGCACTTACAATAGTTTAACTATCGAAAGCTTATTTACCTCCAGGATTTTTGCTTCTTTGTGTTTTATGTTCTTTGTTGAACTTGGTTCTTAATGAAATGAAGGGAAAAACCTTTTTACGTAACCTTTGTTTATGCTTGTGTAAGACATTGTGGTTAGGGCCACGAGGGATGGCTTTACTGCTTAGCTACGTCCCCGTGAGAAGGAGGCTGGCAGCCAAATAACAGCGTAATTGTAATTCTGCTTATAACCAGTTAGCTGCCCATCAACCAGTCAGCTGTAGGATTACGTTTAAATAGTTAGCTACGAGTTAGAAATTATTGAAACTTTCAACTACTGCCAATCGCTCATTCAGATTTGTGAAAACATTATTGTAACAATTAACACTTTAGTGTCATAAATACTATTGTTTTTAAAGTGGCTCTATTATGCTTTTTGGGGTTTTCCCTTTCCTGTAGTGTGCTATATAGATTATTGTGCATAAATGGTCTTCTCTCCAGAGGGAGTTTCTCTCCCACACGTTCCTCCCAATGCCTGAAACGCCTCCATTGGACTCCTTTGTTTACTTCTGTTTCATAATGACATCACCATGTAACACATGTTTTTATTGGCTAGCACGCCAACACATTGTACGTGATAGGCTAAGGGGCGGGGCATCTTATGAACCACTGCTCACCACTCTCCTCTCTTTTGTTCACTTTGGTTTCCACCATCTGCACCAACACAACATCACTGCTCCAGTTACTCTGAGTGTTGGTTGTTTCTATTTTCAAACATATTTTTGAAGCGAACCCTCTCTGTGGGGCGGTGCTGGTGCGTGGAATCTTGCTCACAGGGTATCAAAGATGCGTGTAAACAGCTTAACCTGCATAAGACCTTAACTGGAGAGAGGCCAGTATCTGGGGTGCTGTACGTGTGAGAAACATCCAACAACTACAGCTCGCCCTCAGCATGACGCCACGGCACACAGCTGAGTGATGAGATCTGTATCCGGGCAACAGCTGCCCTGCTGGTGGAGCCAACAGTTAAATGCTGAATTTAATGTAAAAAGAGTTTAACTTCCTCTGTTGGGTAAATGACAGAAACTGGTGATCAAAAAATCACTACTTTATGTAAAACATTTCTTAATTTTGTTCCAAGAAAGGTCTCCAGAAATGAGACGAGAGGCTGTATACCCATGCATGATCTGTCTTCTTAATAATCTTTGATGCCACATTTTAATATGATGTGTTTAACATTTCAGTAGCTCTTCCAGTGCCTGATTAAAAAGTTCTCCCCATCTGAACGTTTTTGTGGCGCTCGCAGCAGAGTCTAGAGATGATCGAGTTTAGCTTTGATTTGATTCGTCCATCCAGCACTTCGATGTTAGAGTTGATGTGGACTAAAGGGCCTCACAGAATGTATTTCGACCTTTCATTTAGTACTACAATGGGGTGGAACATTTCCGGTGACCAACAGTTTGATCCATGACAAAACATTGTCAAAAAGAAAATCAGTTTTCATGCTCCCAAGACCTCCATCATCTCTCCTGTAGACCCACAGTAGAGGGGTTACAAATGAAAAGCACAGCTGAGATTAAAGCCACTCCTCAGGGAGCTCCAGAAAGGTATGGCCTTTATTTTCTACTAGAAGAAGAAAACCTCATATACAGTAGCAAAGAAATCACTCTACAGTCAACAACAACACCAAAGAGTTCAGATAGGAGGGAGGACAAATGTTACGTCGGAAAAAACAATTGTCTATTTGTTAAAAGTGACATCTTCAAATGATTTGTCTGATCAAAGTCCACAAACTTAATTTATTCAATTTACAATGAAGAAAAATAAGCATTACAATTAGTTTGGCTTGTTCTTTCATGTAATGCTTATGCATTGATCTAAAGAAGATGACCCTTTATTCATTCAGTGTATCAGGCTGTTGAATTCACACAGTCCCAAATACACACATGCATAGGAATCAGAGGTGGGAGAAGTACTCAGGTCTTGTACTTGTATAAAAGTACCCAGTACCAGAGTGTAGTAATACTCTATTACAAGTAAAAGTCATGCACTCAAAATGTGACTCAAGTCAAAGTATAAAAGTATTCTCATCAAAATATAGTGAAAGTAGCGACAGTAAAAGTACTCATTGTGCAGATTGGTCCATTTCAGAATAATATATATGATATGTTTTATAATGATTGATCATGAAAGTGTTCTCAAAGCTGGTAAAGGTGCAGCTAGTTTGAATGACTTTGTATACTGCAGGGTAGCTTGTGAATTTACTCCAGGTGGAACTAAAGTCTGATTTAACACTTGATTATATTTCACATCATTCATCCACATCTGTAAAGTAACTAAAGGTATTAAATACATGTAGTGGAGTAAAAGTACAAAGTAGCATCAAATGGAGAAACTCAAGAAAAGTACAAGTATCTCAAAATGGTGCTTAAGTACAGTACTTGAGTTAATCTACTTGGTTACTTCCCACCTCTGATAGGAATATAGATATGCACAAATTCTTTCACTATTGAAAAAAAAAACCCGGATAAAACAATGCAACCACACCTACATTTGTTATATAGCTGACCTGGAAACAGTTTCAGCAACATATTCAGTGTAATCCATAACTGCAGATCTTTAAAATGTATTTCTTGATGTACAACAACAAGGAAAATGTTCCTAGTTGAATATCTAAAGATGAAATAACAAATAATGATGACGCTCGGTTCCACAGACGTGGTGACAGATGAAACTGTAAGACCGTCTGGTGCTCAGGAGCTCATTAAGAATTCACTGTGCGCCATGAGCAGCTCGACCACAAGGCGAGTGCTGGGAGTGGACTTTGATCGATAGCTTTCCGACGGGCTCCCTCCACACACTCAAACTCTACTTAAGGCAAAGAGAATGTTTCTTCATTGTTTTTAGTGCACTGTAAACCTTCAAAACTGACCGATCAGAGGAGACCCGTAAACACCACTTTACCTAATTACCATCATTAAAACCGTCTTCAAAGTGTCCGATATTCTGACTTAAACACAAACGACAAATGTAGTTTCTATTTTAGCCTTGATTTCCAAGACACTCTTTGAGATTACCTTGGAGACAGACAGTGATTTTCAAGGCTTTCTGCTTCTTTGTGAGCTCAAAATGGAAATGGATTCCTGAAATAAAATGTACACAGTAGCCTTTCATCAAAATCTTATTTCAGTGTTTTTCGTGGAGGATTTCCGGGGACCATTTATCCTTCCATTTGTTCATTGCCCATTTCCGACGGCAGAACAATTCAGTTCTCTACAGACCTTTCTACAGTTTGATCATTTTGTGAAATGATTCCTAAAAACGTCTTCAAGCTAAAGAGTCTTTATCAACTCATTCCTTTCCAAACTTGTGAATTAGAGAATTTGTCACCACTTTCTCCACTGAGAGAATAAGATCATAAGAGGTTGCACATTCAATATTTAAGTAGCTCTTTGAGGTAGAACACAGAAATAAACTTAAGTTTTAAAAACAGCCGCTCTGTGGAACTAGCCATTAGTTTAAGAGCTTACCCTTTAGGCTGTTCATGGAGAATGCTGGTATTAGTTCTTAAGTATCAAGTTTGAAAGTTCTAATTATGCAGAATGGCTCTTTTATAGGTGAATTTGGTAATAACCACACTTGAGTAAAATGTAATTTGTTACTTTCCACTACTTCATATACCTACATACTAGACATACCGTACAGGGCTAAGTATATAAAGTGTGGGTTTTCCTTTGAGGACATATTATTCTCATTTTCAGGATCATATTTGCATGTTGTGCCTCTACTGTGACATGTTTCCACACTTTAATGTTCAAAAAGCTCTTTATTTTTTCTCATACTGCCTCTTCTCACCCTCTGTCTGAAACCAGAGCCCAGTCTGCTCTGATTGGTTAGCCGGCTCTGTTGTGATTGGTCAACCGCTTAGAGATGTCCCGCCCCTTAGCCTCACGTACAACGTGTTGGAGCGCTACCCAATAGACGTGCTAGTGTTACATAGTGATGTCACTATGTTATGAAAGAGAACAAAGGAGTCCAATGGAGGCGTTTCAGTCATGGGGGGGGGGGAGAAACTTTGGGATTTTAGCCTTTGTAGACCATTTACATGCACAACAACCTATATAACAAACTACAGCAAAGGGAAATACCTTAAAAGCATAATAGGGGCGCTTGAAGAGAGACTGTTGGCACACAGATGTAGTTTTATGGGTTAGTAATATTGTTTATTCGATTAATATCGACTCATCTCCCCCCCTCCCTAAGACTGCATCTGTTTTTCCTGTCTGCCACAGAATTGAATTATTGCATTCAGCTCATTATGGATTGTGTGTGTGTGTGTGTGTGTGTGTGTGTGTGTGTGTGTGTGTGTGTGTGTGTGTGTGTGTGTGTGTGTGTGTGTGTGTGTGTGTGTGTGTGTGTGTGTGTGTGTGTGTGTGTGTGTGTGTGTGTGTGTGTGTGTGTGGTGTGTGTGTGTGTGTGTGTGTGTGTGTGTGTGTGTGTGTGTGTGTGTGTGTGTGTGTGTGTGTGTGTGTGTGTGTGTGTGTGTGTGTGTGTGTGTGTGTGTGTGTTGATTGAATTTCCACCTCCAACCTGGACTCCTTCCCATGTCTCCTACTCCTCTTGTCTCTGTCCACTCCTCCCCCTCAGATGGGACTGCTGCCTGTCTCAACTCACAACCTCCCCGTGCTTAGCTAAACGTTGCGTTTCAGTCTTTGTATCTCCGCGTGTTTGGTTTTACATCATCATCTCCTAATCTCCTCTCTCCCACCCCCCATCCCATCCCATCATGCAGGTTTTAAGTCATTAACTTCTCTATCTGAATTTGCCAGCAATCCGTATTATTGAGAGATGATAATTGGATTGAACTCTTCTCCCTGGTACTTGCGTAAGGGGAAAATGTGCTGCGAATCGTCAAACAATCTGCAGCTTTACCCATCATAAGAAAAAAACGTAAAGCAGATTAGACCTTGGTTCACGTAAAGTGTTGAGGAAGTTATTCACAGAGTGTCCTGCTTTGCCTCCTCTCTGATGAGTCCTCTCCCCCTGCAGGAGCCCGGTTGCAGTCGGCCATGGCTGCTACTGTCTGGCCCTGCTGAGGTCTGTGCCCGCTGCAGCCTACATCGTGCTGGTGACCGCTCTGCGCTACCATCTCTTCATATGGAGCGTCTTTTCACCCAAATTACTGTACGAGGCCATGCACCTGCTGCTGACTGCGGGGGTCTGCCTCTTCTTCAACACCATGGAGCAGAGCCACACTGCCAGTAAGTCTTAGGGGGCCAAACACGCAGTCCTTCCATTACGGGGAGTCAAAAAGTCGTGAAATAGTCTCTCTATTCTACACGTAAGACGTTCAGACTGATACACTACTGATGCTCACAAAGGGTCCTTCCTTTGGTTCGCAAGAAATACTTTGGAATGCACTTAAAATGTATTTTTGAGCCGCTTGTTTAAATATTTTCCAAGTTGGATGAAGAATAAAAGTGAAATTACGTCAAGATTTTTGAAGAGGGAACCTTTTTTTTTTTACATATACATACGTTATATTACCTCAGGGACTGCTGTACGGAGAACTAGAAGGTTCGACGTTGTGACTAAATTGTGTTGGTGTTACATGGAGAGCACCATGTGTTGGGGGGGTAGTGAGCACGGGGTGATGTGTGTGTGATGATGCAGCTCAGCTTGTTAGCTAGCACCTGCATCCACACAGGTCTAATTAATGTGGCAGAGAATGCTGAAAGTCACCTGAACTCAATATGTATTTTGAACAGAGGACATACGGACTTGATCAAACGGCCAATTCAGCATACAATCATGCACTCTTTATTTCCCCAGATTATAACTCATAATGGGGTAAATAGATACTACTTTTCTGGTTTTCACAAAAGTGCATCAAAGTCATAGCAACATATCGAAGACAAAGAAATCCCCCTACATTTAATAACATACAACAGGCCGAACTTTGAGGGTGATAACGTCTGGAAATTAATAAATGTTTGACAGTGATTATCAAAACTGAATTTGCGTAATATTATAAGGAAATAATATGAAATATTAAAATACACTTCATGGCAGTTTGAGGACATATGTCTAATGTTTGGTAGTAACACAAGTCAAAATGTCTGCTGTGAAGTAAAGGTATACAGTGGTGGAGGTACAGCAGGTAATATGGGACTGTTTCTCTTCAGAACCTTTCAGATATTCTTGTGAAATCATGTTTGTTTTGTTTTAAACCCTTTTTTTTCAACTATTTATTGATTTTGAAACACAAAGCTTTGTCTGTGTGAATATTTGTTCTGTTTCTACTGATATGAAGGTGAGTGGGTTTATACATGTAATGCTCAAACTAAAGATGTGTGGATGTTTTCAGATCAGATAGACTAACACGTTCATGTTTCTTACTTCAAGGTATCTGATGAGATGCATGGCTGCCAAAGCATAACGCCTTTACTGCAATAACTAGATTAGAAATCTCTTACTAAACTTAATGCTTTCATAAAACAAATAAAGGCAGTCGGGAGGCATCATTCATTCACCTACTACACACACACACACACTTTCCTATTGTTTTCTATACTCCCCACACTGCTCAGTATGATGTGTATTTGAATATAGAAGAATACAAATCCTGAAGTTAGTGTAATTGGATGACCTTGACATATGGCAAATAAGTGATGAAAGAAAAATACAAATCGGAAAATATTTCATGAAAAATACAGGAATTGTTTTTAGGCAGCAAATAACAGTACAATAAAACAATTGTATTTAGGAGATAAATTGCATTAAAAAAAACTGTCAACAGAGGACTTAGGAAACGATAGGATAATCAAATAATAAATAATTGGTCAGGATCCAGTGCAGGTTAACTTCAACGTGGCTGCTATGCTCGGTCTTTTTCCTCTTCTAGTCAAGGTGAGACACTCGGGCCAATTTAGAATTTTGGGCCGTTTTGCTTCCCTGTTGGCTTTTTTCCATGACTAGTGTAAAAAAACATCCATGTGACATACCTATGTGTTTATTTAACTCACTTTGTATGTAGTTAACATTACACAAGGCCTCATGTTCATATTTAAACATAACATTTCAGAAAATCTACAAAAACATTTGAATAGTTAAATATTTTACCCTATTCTCTTGTTACTACTGGCAACAGAGTTGGATGGAAGACATAGAAGAGCAGTGTGTCACTTTTTCAGTATTAATGGCGCACATTCATTAATGAATTATAAGATAGTATCGTACTGTATTACTACAGTATTTCACTGCTTGCTTGGATTCCATCTCGAAAGTCATTCAGAAGAAAATGGAAATATGCAAACAGCAGTTACAGTGAAGAATTATGTAAATGTCTCTTCAAACTTCGTTCATGTCATAAACCCATTCATTTAATTTATTTCTGAAAAATAGCCCCCACTGTACACTGTAGTACCGTCCTAGTGTTTTATTGCAGCAAAAATAAAAGCCCCGACCTCTCTCCCAGCAGCTATTCTGCTGAGTCATGTCTGCCTGATGTCGATGAACAGCTGTGACTACTTCAAAGCTCCTTCCTGATTATAACCTGCCAGTTCTTACATCATCACCCTTTGAGACTTGTCGGCCAAGTGCAAAGATTTATTGTTGGAGTCACAGTGTGCAACTTTCTCCCCTCGAGGCAGAAAAAGGCAGTTGTTGGTTCCCGCCCCCAATGCTTGTCACTCACCTTGATGAGCTGTCTGCCTTGAAACAGCATCTCGCCCGGGGCTAGGATCACTGACATCCCCCCGAGGTGCAGCGGAGAAGCAGCTGCCAAAGTGGGGATGGGGTGGAAAGAAAAGCCCTGCTGGTGTTCAGATAGTTTCTGCATTTTTGACTGCGCGCCTCACACTTTTTTTGTTTTGCTGCTAGTTGCTGTGACTCACCTTGACAGGCACAACCTCGACGTTGAGCATACCCACAGCAAACTGAATTGAAATGCCCTGAACAAAATTGAAAAGTCAGACAAACAAGAGGATTTACATTTGAATACACAGGGTCACTGACAGACAAGTGCTGCATATGGATCACTTTAGCTCGTCTGCATCAGAAGCAGGTCTCCACTTTGAGGTGTGAAAATCTGAAGCTGAAAGCACCCCGTTTTAAATTGACAGCATACTGTTGTAAAGTGCCTTCTTCCCTATTCAGTTGAACAGAAATAACGTTTGATGGAAATAGTTTATGAACCAAGTAATAATAACTAATATCTACTAAAGGGCAGTCAGTAGAGTGCAGATCTCCCCCAGGTGTGTCTCTCCCCTCCCCTATCAAAGAATGACAGGTTTAATCTCACTATATCGTGACTCCCTTACAGTCAAGATTATGGAAAAGAAAGAAAAACAATTATTTATTTATGCTTAACTTTAGTGGATCATCATTTATCGGCTGTGGAATTAATCTGACCATGCCCAGTTCAACATGAGCTCCCATAGAAGTCACAATGTGGCATCAACCGACCAGTTGAGGCTCTGTCTCAATTTAGACGCTGTCCTTCCATCGCCATGTCGTGTGAACACTTGCGCAGTGTGTGCATCTCGAGGTAGTGTTGTGTCAATATCTCAGTTTCTCATATCATTGTAAGCCATAGCATATTGACCTGCGTCACATCTTTTCTGAGGTGGATGGATCTTCTGTTCTGAAAGTACAAATGAATGTAGTCATATCGCACAAGATAAATGATGTTTGATACATCAGCGTCCCTCTGCATCTCATCAGCTAACTTACTAAAACAAAACCTCCACTTTAGTTTGGTGGAGTTTGAAAACTTGTGAAGTACTTCGGGACACTGAGTTTGATAATATTATTACATCGACCATTTGTCTTGGTGTTGGCAGCAGATTCAGCGCCAGCGGCCAGCAATGTGATTTGTTATTCCTCTGGTTTTCTGCTGATGGAGTTGGAGGGTCTGTGAGGGGCATTTGTCAGGTTATTTTCTTTTTCCATTCATATTTACACTTCTATTCATTCTTGACATGACATGAACTTATTGAAGGACATCAACACTTCCCACAGTGACTCTGAGCTTCAGTCAGGTACAAGTAGAGGAGCCAAAAGAGGGTTTTTATTTACTCAACAGTCATGGAATATGAATACATCTGAATAGCTAGAGGGTCAAACTGTAATGAACACCAATGGAACAGGGAAAACAATCGGGTAGTAACGACAGGTGCATCATTTCTCTACATAGTTTAATGTTGTCTTCCTCCTGGAGCCTGGAGTAACTCCTGACTGCAGCAGTGCAAGAAGAAGCCTCCGAGCAGCTTCTCACAAATCTGATGGGACCGCGCTTCCTGTGTGAAATCATTCCTCTGTATCCAAAAACCACCAGGCTGTGAAATGGATCAGAATAATTGTTTCCACATGGTTGAGAACCTTTAAACACGTGTTGCCGATGCCGTTATACATCCCAGGAAAGGTGGACTGATTTGTGTGTTGTGTTTTTCAACTCCAATTTGTAGAAATGAGTGTACAGGTTATCAGCCTTCATATCAATATCCCGCCTCCTTTCTTGGCAATTTATCTTATGTGTTTGTATTTCTATTATTGTTTTCCGTTTTCAGCTAATGTTGTCTTTTTTTTTATCCTGTATAATCTGTGTTGAGGTGTTTTTTTTTTTCCTTTTTTGTTTTTGTTGCAAATGAAGAAAAGTGACGAATGACTTTTTCCCTCTGAATCATTATTAATCAACTCCTCCTGAATTATGAATGTGCTTAATAATGAAATAAATTATTTCCAACACCGTACAATTTGAATTTCTGTGTGATTTTTCAGCTGCAACAACTGACATTCACATTCTGTAAAGGGGACATTTTAATAATTCATGCTGTATTATTAGTGATTATTTGCGCATTAAATTGTCTTTCTGCTCGGTGCAGCCTTGCTGGAGCTCCATCTGTCTGCTCCGGAGGACAGCTGACATATGAGCCACTTTTCACTGGAGTTTCTCCTTGTTAAGGTTTCCTACTGACTCTGTCAAAAAGTGGACACGAAACCATCTGTGAAAGGGCGCCTAGCGTAGCTCCACGCACGCTGTAGTTGTAGGAGGATGATCATTTAGTATCATCCTTCTATCCACCCACTAAACAATTATGTTATGCCTTCAGGAGCTGGACTCCAATGCCATCATTAAAGGAGACTCATCGTTTTATGCTGCGCTCACTTCAGAGTGAGTCCTAAAAAACCTTCAAAGTGAAGATGCCTTGAAGAGCTAAATTCAACAAGTTTTAAACCAGAATGTCCAAAAATGTCGATATTTGCACGCATCAATAAATTACCCAAGTCTGCATTTTATTTCATACATAGATATATTTTTACCATTTCCTTTTAACTTTTTTATATCTTTTTTGTAATGTTATCATGAATGTATGCAGTGGTGGAAAAAGTACTCGGATCGTATATTTACCTATCATGCAAAATGCACTTTTGTACGTCTTTTATACATGAATATGTGTCCCCGGTGTTCCAGGGAACTCACCAAGTGTCAGAAAACACAACCCTCTCTATTTTCCTCCATACCCAAATCTCTAAAAAAAAGGGGCTGCAACGGATCTGATAAAAACTGATCCAGATTTGAACACTGTCCTGACGTCAGGACGGTGGCGCTACGGCTATTGGGCCAACTCTCCACCTATCAGGGGAATGTGGGGTTGGGCCACGGCCGGCCATTGCCGCTCGAAAGCACTGGAGACGCTGTAGTACATATGCCAGGCCTGTAAGTGGCGCTGTAGTCTGCCACAAAAGCAGCGAAGAAGACTTCCCGCCCATAGTTACCATGGTTACCCTTCTGTTTATTCTCCGCTGTGGCTTTTTTTCTCCCTCCCCGAGGCAAGCGTTTGCTCCCGCTGCTTTAATTCAATGCAATCCCTCCCCGTCGAGGCAAGCACTGTAATTCTCTCCGGTTAGTCCACCAGCAGATGACAAACACCCACCTCTCCGCCTCTTCCAAGGAACGAGGGGACCGTGCAGCAGAGTTTCAGTTTCAGTTTCTTTCGCCGGTCAAGATGTCCGTTAAAGTTGAAATCTTCCGGACAAAATTAGAAAAGTGCCGGTCAAAGGTCTTCTTTGTTATTTATTGAGCTTTAAAACAAATGAATAACAACTCTATATAATAAAACACGGAGGACGGAGATCTCTTTTTCTCCCCCTCTTCTGACAGCCCAGCAGCTGATCAGAGCACGGCTCACCTCTCCTGCAGGGGGGCGTGGTCAGCAGAATCAGACCCGTAGACAGCAAATAGCACATAGAGTGAAATGAGGCATGGCTAAAATGCATGATCTGTTTGGTATTTTGAAAACAGAAACGTATAAATATACCTTATATAGGTATGGCCCTACATTATATCATTTAAATATAGCATGATAGGTCCACTTTAAGTAAAGTCCCTTAAAGGTCCCCTATTATACTGTGTTTCATCAATATATTATAGGTCTCAGATATATACAAAACATGTCTCTGAAGAGTTTGGCTCCAAACACCAAACAGATCATTGCAGCATCCCATAATCCCCTCTGTTTCAGCCCTGTTTCAAAAGTGCTGATTCTCTGTCTGTTACTTTAGATGAAAATAAGGAGCCACTCCCCACGCCCCTCTGAGAGATATTTGGTTAAAAAGAACACAATGGTGCTCTAGGAGGAGATTCAGGTGATAAGGTGTGTGGGGGGGGGGGGGGGGGGGGGGGGTTGCCTTGGTTGGTGATTGGCTAATAGTTACACAAGCCAAAAAATCGTTATGACATCATAAATTGGCCAAAATCTGATCAGCTCATTTTCAGACAGGTTTTTATATAAATGGATCAGGACAAAAAGAGAGGGGGTCTTTGTTCCTGAATCTCTTTACACAGAGGGGACACATGTTTATGTATAAAAGACATGAAAAAGTGGATTTTGTATAATAGGTGACCTTTAAGATTATACCTTAGTACAGTACTTACTTGAGTGACGGTACATCCTTCATCGTCCTGGGTCTGCCCCAGGGCCTTCTCACAGTGTGACATGTTCTGATCAGAAAGCGGACCCCCTCTCCTCCTCTCTTCCTGCTGCAGCCATGTGTCACAGACTTCCCTCTCCACAGAGGGTCCGGGCAGAACCCTGCCTCCTGCGGCGTCTGTCGCTCTGCTGGAACAAAAAGTCACTCGGCTCGTAGTTTGTGCTTCTGCAACCAAAGAGGCTGCGATCACCACTCAGCACATCCAAGAGTTTTGTTACAACCAGCGCAGGTTTAGTTTGTTTTCTGGTACCAGATACGCCTGTACATTTCTCTATGCTAAAACACGATGGTTGTTTTGCACACTTGATTGCTATCACTTAAAGGGGACCTATCATGCAAAATGCACTTTTGTACGTCTTTTATACATGAATATGTGTCCCCGGTGTTCCAGGGAACTCACCAAGTGTCAGAAAACACAACCCTCTCTATTTTCCTCCATACCCAAATCTCTAAAAAAGGGGCTGCAACGGATCTGATAAAAACTGATACAGATTTGAACACTGTCCTGACGTCAGGACGGTGGCGCTACGGCTATTGGGCCAACTCCACCAATCAGGAGGAGACAGCCACGGCCATTGCCGTTCGAAAGCGCTGGAGACGCTGTAGTACATATGCCAGGCCTGTAGGTGGTGCTGTTCTCACTGAATCAACCCTTGCAAAAACAGAGCTAAAAAAGTGCAAATTGAGCGCCACTCAAAGGTGGACTTGATCAATTGGGGCAAATCCATGAATTTGAGATGTTGACATTTTCAAAGAACCGTCTAATTTGACACAATTGAAGCGCACATTGTAAATGCTCAACTTTCTACTAAAAGACAATGTTAAAAGTATATGGGCATGTATTTAGGTCAAATAATACAAAGCATTAAGTCAAAGCTGTTCTGCAGATAAAAGGCTACAGTAAACACATACTAATGTTGCTATTGCAATTGTTTGCTAACAGGTTGCCATATGAACTGAATAGACAATGATACTCCTTTTTGATTCAGCACTCCCAAGTGACCAAACTCCTCCTACACAGCTGTTTGCTAAACAATCAAGATCCTCCTTGAAAATAGTGAAAAGAAAAGCACACAGATTTGTCCTCTCGTGAAACAAAACAGAATGGGTTGACACTTCCTGTCTTGGTGCGATAAATCGGTTGGTTTGCAACAATCTTATGAGCTTTATGAGCACATACATCATGTCATCATAACTCAGTAATACAGTTTGCACCTTCTCAGCATGCGGAACATATCTGAAGCATGTTGATGTATGTGTCTTCCTCAGTGAGGACTAATGGCCGCCCGTCCAGCAGAAACTAATTGCAGGAGTAGAGCAGCTGGAGGACTGAATTTGAGCCTTTTGAGTTGAAGCTGTCCGTGTGAAAGCGAGCTCACCTCAGCTGCACCGCGCAGCTCTTTTGATGCTCCAGCAGTTGTCTGCTAAGTGGCAGATGGCAGCGAGCCAAAGAGGTTATTGCAAGTTTAGAGCTGGCTGGCTCTGAAAACACAGCCACTGCAGGAGCTATTGATCGACGCGCGGCTCTCTCGGTGGCTCAGACGCTGCCAGGGTTCCCCCTTCCTCCCCCCCCAATCTCACTCTCTGCTCCAAGCTGCTGAGAGGAGTCCCGCTCACTAAAGCTCTGCTCGGTTGTTAAGAAGCCTGGAAGGGAACACTTGCTGTTTGCATGAAATGACTACTGGCTTGACTTACGAGGCAGTGAAGCTGCTTGTTAACCCCATTAGATTGTGTCCTTAATGTTAGAGGTAATTCGGAATGGTAAATGGACTGCATTGATATAGTGCTACAGGTCATTGCGACCCCTCAAAGTGCTTGTGCGTATACAAGTCACCATTCACACACATTCACACAGAGGCAGAGGCTGCCATGAACCAAGGAAACTAACATTCCCCCCAACATTCACACACTGCTGGCCATCTGGAGCAGTTTGGCATTAAGTGTCTTGCCCGAAAACACATCGTCATGTTGATGCAGAGGCTGGGTATCAAACCATCGACTTTCCAATAGGTTGACGGCCACTATACATCCTGAGCCCCATATTCTGTATTTTGTTGTCATTATATGTGCAGACTTCTCTCTGGCCCTTACATAATGGCTCCTGAATAATATACCAGTGTGTCTCTTGGAGAGGTTTGAGGCGAGAAACTACACCCTCAGCAATCCCATTGACATTCAAATGTCCAGTGTTGAAAAGTGCGTGAACAAACTTGCCAGGAGTTTTGCGACAATAGGAAACACCTTTCTGTGCTCATATTGCTGGCAGACTCACGGAGAAACAGACATCTGGTGCAGGGAGTTTGGGTCACACTGAGTCAAAAAAAAAAGTTAATTATACATCAACAGCGGGGAAAAGTTTTCATTATTATTAATTCAGCAGGCGGCGGTGTGAGAGGAGACAATTTCAATCCACAGATCCAGCTGCAGGTCGGTCATGAGGGAATGTTTGCTCAGTCATCCATGACACTCATCGACCACTTTTGGGCAACCGGCAGGAAGTCAATAGAACTTTGTCTCCTCTTATACAAAGTATTTCATCCTTTGAAATCACAGTGAAGGTTGTTTGTGATACAAACTATAAAGTTCTATCATTCACACATTATGTTTCTGTAGGTAGGAGGTTTCTTATCAACTATAGTATGGTTGATACAGTCATATATTTATATTTAATAGTCCTACTGAATAGAAAATAGCCTGCACTTAGCTGTAATCACTAAATCACTGCCCATCAATCGACAACTTCCTGCAGCATCATCTG